AATTCTTTTAACTAGAATTGAGTCGAAATTTTGCGGGGTGTGGGTGTTAGTGTGGCAGAACACTAGAATTACACCCATATCCACATTCACACGCACACCCACCACACACCCACACCCACACCCATCCACACCCACACCCACACCCATCCACACCCACACCCCATACCATGGTGAAATTCTTGCAAATATATTACTATATAGTAAGAAACATCGAGAATCAAATGATTTGAGAATACATCCTATTCCGCGATGTTGAACATTGCGGCATCGATTCCGCCCCCGGAATCGATTCCACCGATTCCGGAACCGGATCAACCCCACTTACAATCAATTCCGGAATTTCTCGTATCGATTCCGGAATTAATCGCATCAATTCCGAAATTAATCGGACTGATTCCGGAATTACTCGGCTCGATTCCGGAATCGCTCACTGTCATTCATTCTTGCCCTCACCCTCACATTGGCTATTGCGCTTAGAGCAAGTGAGCGATTCCGCAGAGGAATTCCCGGAATTGAATTGAGACGGAATCACTAAGAATCCCACGGAATTCTGCGTAATTCCGGAATTGGAAGAACCGATGCCGGATCCGGGATTGCAAGAACCGATGCCGGATCCGGAATTGCAAGAACCGATTCCGGATCCGGAACTGGAAGAAGCGATTCTGGATCCGGAATTACAAAAAGCGATTCCGGATCCAGAATCGCTGCTTGCGATTCCGGATCCCCAATCCCTAACTAGCATTCCTTGTTGCCCTCACCCTCACATTGGCTATTGTGCTTACAATAAGCGAGCAACTCCGGAGAGGAATTCCCGGAATTGAATTGAGACGGAATCACTAGGAATTCCGCGAAATTCCTGGATTGGAAGAAGCGATTCCGGATCCGGAATTGCAAGCAACGATTCCGGATCCAGAACCCCTAACTAGAATTCCTTGTTGCCCTCACCCTCACATTCGCTATTGTGCTTAGAACAAGCGAGCGATTCCGCAGAGGAATTCCCGGAATTGAATTGAGATGAAATCACTAGGAATTCCACGGAATTCCGCGGAATTCTGGAATTGGAAGAACCGATTCCGGATCCGGAATTGGAAGGGGCGATTCCGGATCCGGAAGTGGAACATGCGATTCCGGATCCGGAATCCCTAACTAGCATTCCTTCTTGCCCTCACCCTCACATTGGCTATTGTGCTTTGAACAAGCGAGCGATTCCGCAGAGGAATTCCCGGAATTGAATTGGGCCGGATTCACTAGGGATTCCGGAATTGGAAGAGGCGATTCCGGATCCGGTATTGGAAGATGCGATTCCGGATCCGGAATTACAAAAAGCGATTCCGGATCCGCAATCGGAGCTTGCAATTCCGGATCCGGAATCCCTAACTAGCATTCCTTGTTGCCCTCACCCTCACATTGGCTATTGTGCTTACAATAAGCGAGCAATTCCGGAGAGGAATTCCCGGAATTGAATTGAGACGGAATCACTAGGAATTCCACGGAATTCCGGAATTGGAAGAACCGATTCCGGATCTGGAATTGCAAGCAACGATTTCGCATCCGGAATCGCTTCTTTCAATTCCGAAATTCCGCGGAATTCCGTGGAATTTCTCGTGATTTCGTCTCAGTTCAGTTCCCGGAATTGAATTGAGATGGAATCGCCAGGAATTCCACGGAATTCCGGAATTGGAAGAACCGATTCCGGATCCGGAATTGGAAGGGGCAATTCCGGATCCGGAAGTGGAACATGCGATTCCGGATCCGGAATTGCAAGCACCGATTCCGGATCCGGAATCGCTTCTTGTAATTCCGGATCCGGAATCCCTAACTAGCATTCCTTCTTGCCCTCACCCTCACATTCGCTATTGTGCTTAAAACAAGCGAGCGATTCCGCAGAGGAATTCCCGGAATTGAATTGAGACGGAATGACTAGGAATTCCGCGGAATTTCGCGGAATTCCTGGATTGGAAGAAGCGATTCCGGATCTGGAATTGCAAGCAACGATTCCGCATCCGGAATCGCTTCTTTGAATTCCGGAATTCTGCGGAATTCCTAGTGATTCCATGTCAATTTATTTCCGGGAATTCCTCTGCGGAATCGCTCGCTTGTCCTAAGTAGAATAGCCAATGTGAGGGTGAGGGCAAGAAGAAATGCCAGTTAGAAATTCCGGATCCGGAATCGTTGCTTGCAATTCCGGATGCGGAATTGCTTCTTCCAATGCCGGAATTCCTAGTGATTCCGTGTGAATTCAATTCCGGGAATTCCTCTGCGGAATCGCTGGCTTGTTCTAAGCACAATGGCGAATGTGAGGGTGAGGGCGAGAAGGAATGCTAGTTAGGGAGTCCGGATCCGGAATTGCGAGTGTGCGGTTCCGGAATTGCAGGCATCGATTCCGGAATCGATTGAAGTTGTGGTGGGATCCAATTCCGGAATCGTTGGATTCGATTCCGGGCGCGGAATCGATTGCACGATGTTGAACATCGCGGAATAGGATGACTGCTCAATGATTTTAAGGAGAGAAAAGAAAGATGTAATCATTATACTAAACGATGAAGTTTTGATTGAAAATAAGTGAACAAGCATCATTGTTCGACATCAGAAAATGCAAAATAGCTTTTGTTGATAGAGAGAAGAATAGGATGAACATCAAAGTAGTTCTTCTCTCGTTTTTATTATTACCTACGGACATTTACAAAAAAAAACAAGATAAAAACAGCTACTACTTTTAAAATACAGTTAACGATTGGAAATCAATTATCTTCTTCTAAATCGACTCTATGAACTTATTCTTCTTTAAAAACTTCTTTTGATCGAGAACATATGTTTATTAATTAATTTCATATAAATTATATTGAATATTTATTTTTTTGTGATACCATGAATTAAATGAAAATTCTAAATGACCAAGACACTTTATGATAATTGATAGAGAAAACGTAACAAAATTCCATATTGAAAAACGAATAGTTTTTCAGGTTACAGTTGTATGATAGTCTATAGATTGAGGAACAAAACGATTTTAACTGACTCCTAAATGAGATAATTAATTAGTTAAAATTAAAAAAATTTTTGTTTTAATGACTTCATTTGTTCATAGACAAAACTTGCAGCTTTGATTTTGTGATTGATATTGATGGGCGTTACATCTACCTATCTTATGAAATCAGCCTTGAATTTCCGACATCATTCACTGTCACACTATGGCATCTGGAAAAAGTGTACCTTCGACAGCATATAGAAGAATCAAAAGAAACAAATTTCAACCTGAAATTTTGTCCATAAGTAGACTTCATAGTCCATAGAATACCCACAAATTTCTAGTCAAAACGGATGCTTTCTTCTCGAGATACATGTTCATCAATTGTATTTCGAACAATAAATCGATAAACAACAACTAGTTTTGTTTGTCCTATACAATAAGCACGATCTTGTTCTTGAATATCAATCATTGGATTCTAATATTAAATTTAAAACTCAAAAAAAAAATGATCAATTATAACTTCATATAATACCCAATCGCCCAATCTAAATTGAATAAAACCACTGTACTAGCTCCCATTAAATGCAAACCTAAAATCCAAGTTTTTGTGCTTATCAAAAAAAAAAGAATACATCGGGTCTTTATTGAATGTTGTAATCTAAAAATAAAATTTATTTAGTTTTTCAGATTAATTCAATTGAAAACATACAGCATCAATTCTTTCTTCAAAATTTTTATTACCATCAAATATTATATAATCATAATTTTGATGTTCACATATTGCTTCAAGTACGTCAAGAAAAGTCATCAATATTGAAAAGATCAAAACCTATAGAAATTCTTTAGATTTGTTTTTTCTCATATTGATTTGAATGTTTCACTTTATAATTTGTTTTACTTAATTTTACAAGCATTTTATCTAATAAAATAAATTGTCCGCTATTTGTTATTAATTCTTCATTAATAATTAATTCTGCATTTGCATCTTGTGGTGCATCAAGTAAATATGGATGTGTACAAGCATGAAGAAGCAGAAATACGGCACTACAACCTCTCATTTTCTTTGCAATAATATCTTCTCTAAAGTATTAAATTCTTTTATTAAATTATTTTTAAATGAAATATTTCATTACTTTGGTTTCAATGGAATATCGTCAGGTTTACGTTGACTTCTTCATCGTTGAGTACCATCAAATACTACTACAAATTCATTTATTTTATGCTAAGAAGAAACAAAATTGAATTTGAAAACAATTTTTCTTGTTTTACATCTTTTATATAATGACGAATAATTTCATCGACGACTTTATTATACCACTTAACTTAAAGATTTGTTATTTTCGTATACACCTTTATTTCTTTTTCAGGTGGTAAACATAAATTAACATCATTTTTTTTCGACAGCATAAAATAAATGGAATAAAAATCTATATAAAAACAACTATTGAACCATCAATTGCATCAGGAATGGATAGGGAATTACAGGTTCTTCTGGATCAGAATCAAAAAGACATGCACACACAACTACCTACAGATGGGACTGATTCGATAATTTTTATTTTACTTGATGAAATATTGATATTAAATAGATCGTTCTTGTTCTTTTTTTAAATTCATATTTGTATTATCAATTTCAAAATAACGTTCAAATACTTTCTTTAATTAAAAAAGAAATGTTTTTTTTTGTATTAAAGAAGATAACTATGAAGATTTTCTTAGAGGCTCATGAAATATTTCTGATAAAAGGAAATTCATTAATGAAAACATTTCATTAATATTATTTTGAATAAGTATATCAGTTAATAAAAATCGAACACCTATTTGAATACAACGAAGCATTGACATTTAGGATTTTTTAATCAATGGCCTTTATCAATAACTAATGATGGCCATTGTTCTCGTTTAAGAAACATTCTAAAATGATTTTTATCAAAAATTTAAATGTATCTTTCCATTAATTTTTTGTCGATTATACATAATATGATCAGTTGTTGTTAAAACAATCGGCGCTGATTCTTTTTTGTTTGACGATATTCGTTCATTTGACTACGAAATTCAGCTAACCTTTCTTTATTTCCATGATAGACCACGCAAGTAATCTGAAAACATTCATTTAAAGATTTCCCCGATATTTGTCTTTTTTACCTATATTCGGTGCAAATTCAGTACACCAATTTGTAAGTGTTGATAGTGGTGCAATAACAAGAAATGGACTAGGTGCACTATCTTCAATTAAGATTCAAATAAATGCAATTACTCCAACTGTTTTACCTAGTTTAGCAATTAAAAAAACAGATTTATCAAAAGAAATTGTTATTTTCTTACGAAAATTCATTTCATCAACAAGAATTCTCTTAATAGCAATTTCATGTAATATTCATAACCGTTCTAAACCAACTAATTGATCTCTAATAAATATAAGAAAAATAAAAATTTAAAGGACAGGGGCGTATAAGACCGTAATTTGACCCATTGGACTTTTCACACGATATCCAGTACAATCATATATAGGATGAAAGAGCTTCAACTGACGAGTACTTTCCAATACATTTGAGGACTTCCTACCTTATCATTTCGAATGACCTTATTGTGAATACATAGTAAGGACATCATAGTCTTTCAGATTAGTTTCCTCTATATAAATTCAAGAAAGTCAGCTTCAATTATACCTCATCGAATAGCTCTTCTCACGGGCTACAAAACCCTGTAGTTTTTAAAATTAAAAAACGGTAGACCCATCAAAAAGTCCAAGACCGCAATGTAAAAACTACGTCCATTTTTACGGTGAGTGTGGGTATGGAACAGAGACGGAACCGGTCTAGCTTTACCCTGGTGGCTACTCTACCGGCTCGAAAAGATCAGACCGCACCGGACCAGCGGGTATACTGGTAAAACCGGTCTAGACCGGTAAAGTCGGTCTACCAGTTAAAACCGCTCTATCGATAAAAGCTGATCTGACCTGTCTACCGATAGCAAATTGGATACTGACAATGTGTCACCTCATCAGGAAAAATCCACCTACCGATAAAACATCAAACTAAAGACAACAGGCTGAGAATTAAAATAATACCTTTTTCAATAGTATCTCTGGAGGACAGCCTTCGTACCTTCACGTATACAGTCTTTACGATTCGTTGTTGATAAGAACAGTCTCATTGCAGGATATTGTAGAAAGTGTTTCTTTAACTAATTTCTGTGTGATCAGAGGAATTAACCTTGGTGTCTGTTGATTTTTGTTAAGTGGATAGCATCAAGAAGCAGGAAAGTTCAAGACGCACTCTTTAATGAGACTGGTTTAGACCGGTACTGGACTCCATCATCCGGTTACTAGTATCGGTTCTCTCGTTTGAGGTGTGGGTGCAGATGAAAATATACAATACATCCACACCCACACCCCTATCCCCACCAACATTCACATCTACGTCCACACCCACGGTATAAGTGGCCGTAATTTTTATTTTGTGCTATTGGACTTTTTTATGGGCCCACCTTGTATAATTCCAAAAACCGTAGGAGTTTGTAGCCTATGAAAAGCGCTATCAAATAAGCTATAATAGAAGCTGGCTTATACGAATTCTTAAGAAAATCATTAATCAAATATGTTACAGTATATGTAAAAATTGGCATAGTTTTTACATTGTGGTCTTGGACTTTTTGATGGGCTTACCTTTTTTAATTTTAAAAACTATAGGGTTTTGTAGTCCATGAGAAGAGCTATCCGATGAGGTATAATTGAAGCTGACTTTCTTGAATTTATATAGAGGAAACTAATCTGAAAGGCTATGATGTCCTTACTCTGTATTCATAATAAGGTCATTCGAAATGATAAGGTAGGAAGCCCTCAAATGTATTGGAAAGTACTCGTCAGTTGAAGCTCTTTCATCCTATATATGATTGTGCTGGATATCGTGTGAAAAGTCCAATGGGCCAAATTACGGTCTTATGCGCCCCTGTCCTTTGTGACTAAAAACGAATGTGAAGCCACAGCATTACGACGAGGACAAGAAGAAGCTGCAGAAGATGATCGAGAACATGAACGACGAGAAAACGATCATCATCGACGTAAAAAAAGATAATCAAATATATCAACCAAGTACTCCAAGTAATTCTTTTATATTTCCGTTATTTTTCTCATTCACATTAGTATTTTTCTTGCGACTTTTTGTTGGAAGCTAATGAAGAACGTGAAGAAGCAGCTGTCAAGGAACGATATCTTGTCATTGCTAAAGTAAAATATATTTTTGTCCTTCATTGATTATAATCCACTCTATAAAGAAAAACATCAAATACAATTTTTTGGTCGTGGTCGTATATCTGATATTGATATTAATAAATGCAAAAAAAAAGATCAATCGAAGTTTTATAGTGATTTTGCTTGAAAAACGACGTACACAAGAAGAAAAAGATCGAGCAATATAAGCTATATCTATAAAAAAAAGAAACAACCAAGAACAATTTTTTCTTATTCATTTTTTTGTAGAGTTTATCTTCAATCTTATTGAGAAAAACATTGTTAGGATGAACGTAGACTTGAAAAAAGCATTGTTGATGTTATTAAAACTACTAGTTATAAGGTAATTTTAATTTTCTAAAGTGAAAAACATATATTTTCGACGAAAATATTTCATACTAGTTTAAATCAAGGTTTATGTAGCTTTCTCTTAGACTCTAGCGAAGTGGTTCAAAGATCAGAGATCAATGAGCATGTTTTTCCTAGTAACAAGAGGAGGAACGGCGACGGAAAAAGGCGCTGAATGGCATTAATAACAAGACTTAGACTGTTCTAAAATATTTCAAAGTCTTTCTCGAAATTCGAACGGCTACTATACGTTTGTGAAAATTTTAAATAGTACAGTTTTTTTAATGTTTTGTGCAGGTGATAATTTATATTCCAGATGTCAAGAATAATAAGTAATGATTCATTGATTTGCCATAGTTGTCATATGATTAACATATAAAGAATGAACTGATCATGTTTTAACTTTTATAGATACATATAACAGACTTATTTACTAATTAAATCAATGGTTAAAATAATAATAAAAAACGGAATATTAAAATAAAAAGCAACAAGGCAAACAAAAATTAGAGAGTCAATAAAAAATAAATAAGGCCAATTGTTTCCCTAGTAGTTGATTACCTTTTGAAAACAACAATAATACCTACTAGCGATTATTCACTTAACCTATTCTATATTAATTATAATGCAGCAAAAGAACACATATGAATTACACACGTTAGTCTCAAAGGAGCTGTGATGACAAGGTTTTTTTTTTAATAGAAACCAACACCAATTCAACGACAAGCTATTCTAATTGGTTTACAAAACCGAGATATGATTGGTATTACAGAGATCGGTTCTGGTAAGATAGTAGGCAAATTAATTTTTATTGATATGTTTTCTTTTTTTTAATTGATGTTGTTAGTATTCCTTTACTTGCTTGGATTCGATCATTATCAACCGTTGATAAGTAAGATGAATTTCTTATTAATGAAATAAATGAAAACATTTTTTTTAAAGATCTCTTGATGCTGATCATGAATCATATGCACTTATTCTAGCACTAACTCGTGAATTAGTATAACAAATTGAAGAAGGAACAGTTCAATTCGAATAAGTACGAATTTCACATTTATTCAAATGGATATATCACAAGACAGAATAGAACTCAGTTCAGTTTTAAATTGTTCTAGGCGAGATTAAAATTTTGATTTGAACTAGTTCAGATTGAAATATTCGAAATATTTTACATTTGTATCGAAAATACCGTTATGTTGGTCGTGAAAATAAGAATTCTTTTGCACGTCAAAACAACTTGATAGAGAAATAAAAATATACTAAAAAAACAGGTTTTACATTTCGGATCATTGTTACAGTGGCCTTTTGCTATATTCTGCTTTTGATCAAATATGTTTCATGCTTGTTTGAATTTAATGCTAGAGCAGACACTGATATCATTTTAGAATTGGCGTAGATTTTCTGAATGATTTCTACCTCTGTTCAAACATTTGGGCTATGCCTTTATTGTCTAGTAAATTGGTTTTAGTTTACCTACTACAGATAGCCTGATCACAAGTAAGTGCCTAGAAATTTTCCAGATAGCAATCTATGATAACGAAAAATATTTCTTCACACTCACTATAGGTATGCTCTTCTTCCCAGAATGATTAATCTGACTGTCGAATTCGATAGAATCCTAATAAAAGAGTTCTTCAATCGAAATTCTCATAAATTCCGATGGATTTATAATTAGCATGATCAAAATTGTTCTCAAAACTATTTGTAAATTATTTGGTGATGACTTCTAGATCATTCTATCATTTTGAACAATTGTGTTGTCCGCAAGTATAGAACATTCGTATTCTCTTGTGAAAAAACTTAATGAAGTTTCTTGCCAATTTTTTTTACATGGGTCGTCTCCAGATTTCAATTTGAACTAGGATTATTTAAAACTGAACTGAGTTCCATTCTGTCCTACGACATATTTATTGATTATTATTAGTTGTTTCTTATCATAGATATGGTTTTCGAAGCTGATATTAAATATATTCTTGAATATTCACTAGTTACAAATCAAAATTCAGATAATGAAGTTGCAGGAGATACAAAATAACGAAAAACAAAAATGTTTTTCTTTCTTTTATATTAAGAGATTTTGCTTCAAAAGAAAAATATCGTCAAACAATGATGCTTACAGTAACAATGACATCAACTATTGAACGTTTAGCATGTACACATCTTCGTTGTTGTTCAGCATATTTTTATGTTAGATCAATTGGTAATCATCTAGCTGAATGTGTTGAACAAATTTTTATTTTTTAATTTTTTTTTAATTTTATTTATTTCTATTAGGATGGAAAATGTCAAGAAAGTCAAGATTTAGCTTTTTATTCAATTAAAACAAAGTCAAAAAGATATTCTTGTCGCAATAGATGTTGCTGATATAAAAGATGTTTCACTTGTATTAAATTATGATATGGCTAAGATAATTCAAGATAAAAAAAAAAATTCATAAAAAAAGGAAATAAATATAATTTGAATTATTTTAGATTATATACATCGTATTAGTCGTACAGGCAAAGCAATAACTTTTTTAAACAATAGAAGATTCAACTGTATTTTATAAATTAGAAGAAGTTATACTTGAATTACCTGTATCACAATGTCTATCTGAATTACTTAATCATCCTAATGCACAACATAAACTTAATTTGATATTTCATTATTTATTTTTTCATTAAAATTATGTGTTTACTTAAATAAAAAAGACATTATTTCTTGTATTTGTGTCTCGTGCTTTTTTTTGTGTTATTATTGTGTATTATTAGTAAAGTATCTGATAAAAAACAAAATAACGACCTATTATGTATTTACTTATTTCATGAAAATGAAAAAGGTTTTTTTTCTTTCTATTGTATGACGTTTATTACTACGACAAACATGTTCTTGCTGCACAATCACATGTTGAAACAAATCTCGTATTAGGTTTCTCTTTTTTTATGCGCTGAAAATTCTATTCAGATTGATATACTTGTTCTGAAGTAAATAATAATCAACAATTTTGTACATATTTGACCGAAATCTGTAATGATTCTAATAATGATGGTTTACGAAATATTATTGACACATAATGTTTAAAACAGGTTATTCGAATATTTTCGAAATTTGACGTCAACATATTATTTTTTCTCCATTCGATGTGATGGAAGAAGATTGATAAACAAATAAATTAATAATAATGATAATATTACAAGTAAAAAACAAAAATATTTCTTCTGTTTTTTTCTGAATCATAGTTCATCATATTATTCCCGAATTAATTCTTAAACAAATGAAAAATTCTGGCAAAGAATCTGTTGATGTATCGAAATATTTAATTGAAGTATATCGACCATGTCATAATGAATTAGCAAAAGATTTTCTCGAGCGGCTGATATGATATTTGATGCTTTTGTGTTATTCGATCATATCTTAATTGAAAACAAAAACAAAAACGAACGGTATAATTAAATAGAAATTTTCATTATTCATTTTTATATGTTTTTTTCTTTCGTATTCTGAACAGAGTTGTATATGAATCGTATAAGATTCTTTTTTAAAGAATTGAAATTTATAACTATTTAACTTAAGTTTCTTTTTTAAACTAAATCGATCTTTTGAACTTCAATAGTAACTTATCGAAGATGTGGTTGTTACTCACATGGATGTAAGAAAATAATAGTTTTTTTCGTTTTCATAATAGTGAAAGTAAATCTTTTGCTTTTATATAAATTGGCAGCAAGAAAAATATAAACTAATGTATCGACTTCTTCAATATAACATTGAATGAACGATCAGTTTCAACTGGCATTTGATAGGCATGATATAAAACTTTGAATTCTTATGTAAAGATGTTCGATAATTTCCGTTACTTAAGAATGTTGAACAGATCGAGAATCGGTCTCATTAGAACTTCGAGTGCCTAGAAGAGATGCAATTAAGGTGGCCATAATCATTTTTAAAACAAAATATGAGAAAATAGTTGAGCTCATTCATACGCTATACACTACAGTTGACACTCGTGTGTTTCTCCAGCAAAGAGAAATATATATATTCTTCACTTATTTTTTCCTTAATGCAACAAGAGTTAAATGAACATTATCTCACGATTAATCGGACTTTCTTAAATGAATATGACTTTACTTTGTTTATAAAATGGAAATTCTATGTTAACAATTACAGGTATCAATTTCTTCGAATGAAGAAAATAACAATCGAGTGGAAATTAAAGAGATTTCATTTTCTTACATCTACGTGACAACCAGGATCTCCCTTTAGGCAAGCCATGAACCCGAAACCTTTCAGAGTTTTCTTAGTCTCTTTAAGTCCTACTTATAGCCTCAAATATGAGTTCGAACGATGTTCGACAAGGGTGGGTGGGTGTGGTGTGGATGAAGTGAACACTAATGCCCACACCCATACCCACACCCACACCCTCTTCAGAAACATACAACGAACCTTGGTTGTCCTTGATTATCATTGTTCGACCAACTTTGGACTCGTTTGTTGTAATTGACGCAAACAAGAATCGTTCCATTTTTGTCGACAACAACGCTTGATGGATTAATAACTGGTTACTTTGATTTCCTTCTCCATTGCCACCGGGTACAATGATACCACTTAAACTTCCAGTCTTCCATTTGACTACTCATTCATTTGAAGTATCTGCAATATAGAGATCATTATTCTTATCGACAAATAATCCCCACGGAGTATTCAATTAATTCAATTCGTTTCCTTGTCCATTTCTCACGACCGCCGTAATCGGATGTGAACTCCATGTTGCACTCGCACGTATACCATCATCAGGTATCGGTGGTGCAGATTCTAAACAATGGAACGACAAATGTTAGAGATCGATTATTTTTCATGCTTACTTGTCGCGTGTGTCATCGATAGACACATCGATTCAGATGCCATATTGTTCGGATAACATACTGGATGACTTAGACAACGTGGATGTTTGACACATACATGATTCGGTTGATAACATGTTCTATTATCAGCAGCACACGAAATCAATTGAGAACACGTAACATACAGATATCCACAAGTAGCATTAGTGTCTGTATCTGCCAGAGAGAGACAACCACATGCAACGTTCAATGAACATTGATCATATTGAAGAGCACCTTGACATGACTGACTTTTGACTTGATCTAGTCAAACTCAGAATTGAAAGAAGATAGTAGTAGGCGTGTCACTTTATATTTTCGTTTAATTTAATTTACGAGTAAATTAAATTAACACATTCACCCCGATATGAATATTGGTTTTTCATAATCCGTGAAAAGTTTCATTTCTTTATTCAGGACAATTGTAATACTTCAAAAAAGTTTTTATCAGCGTTTCTCTTATGAATATGAGCTATGAATATCCCTTTATCAGTAGTAAAATAACCAGCCTCTTCCGTCAAAATATGGCAGAGATATTCAATTTTTTCTGCCCTAAAGGAAGTTTT